ATACACTAACCTGAGCCAACAAGAGTTCCTCGCTGACGAAGAACATGATGACGCCGTTATTTAGTGATGCCGCCCGCCCACAGAAAATGTTTAGACAAGATGTGGATGGTGGGTGTAGAATACACGGTTCATGATAAACAGGAGGGACTGTTGGGTTGAGATTGTGTATATATTATCAGCCATGTGTATTCTTATGAATGCATAACTTGTTTTATATGGCAACTGTGTAAGTGCTTAACAGTAATTTTCTATCACGTGCAGCAGATGAGCCCACCTCTGCTGTACGTTCTGTTGTTCCTATTTCCATTCCCACTTCCCACTTCCATATTCTATCCCACTCGAAATGTTGTTCACACCCACAATGTAACCTGATCACCAAATAAACCCTCTCGTGGTGCCACACCCTTGTAGCTACACTGCGGTGTGCACCCTTGCAAGTAAAACAACGCGTGTCTCATACTCTGTGGGCCAGCGGCCGGGGGGGGCTGATCACTTTCTCCGACAGTTACGGAGTTAAACGCGGACAGAAAACGCCGCTCACGTGACACCCGCAGCTCAATGTCGGTAATAATTAATTAACAGACAGGACAGACAAGCACTCACGCCGACTGAAATAAGAACAATAAATAGAAATAAAACAGCCACCCACGTAAACAGGTAAAACACACAAACACTCAAAATATACAGTATGTTCAAAATACGTTCAAAACACTCCAAAAAACAATCCCAAACAATCGCTGCAGCTCAACACTACTCTCTCACAGCAATCCCAGCAATCCTTGCGCACAACCCTCCCCAAAGACAGAATATCTGCCAAGCAACATAGCAGCAAGCCCTGTAAAACACTCTAAATTCTGTAAAACGAAGCCATGAGGGATGCAGTAGAGAGGGCTTGAGTCATTTATTTAGCTCTGCCATCCCTGTGGTTGAATCGCTGACTCAGAACTTTGAGGCAGCAATCATCCATGATGCGGATCTGTTGACCATGGGAATTCAACTTCCCTCTCCGCCAAGCCTCTCGGATCAAAAGGTCCTTTATTTGATAGCAGCGTAAATGGAGAATGATGAGACGCTGAATCTGCCCCAGGGCCGGCTTGGCTGTCAGGGAACAATAGGCTCTGTCGATCTCCGGCAGGGCTGGGAGCGTCTCCTTCCCGAAAACCTCACATAACAGACCAGAAAAGAATTCTGTAGGACACAATCCTTCAATAGATTCCTCTAAGAACATGATGTGCAAATTTCACCTAAATTGGTGACTTTAGCCCTTAGCTTGGAGTTGTTCTCACTGAGGCTAGAGCAGACATTCTCTAGATCTCTAACATGCTAACTGAGATCATCCAAAGTGAACTTCAAAGATCCTAGTCATTGGCTGTGGTCTTCCACCACAGATTGGACTTGGGCAAGTTTATTTTCCAACAGGCTAAAAGAACTTTTAAATGTGAAGATTGCCTCCATTGTTAAGCTAGTTACTGAATCACCCTTTTCCCCCAATTTGCCACTCTTTGAAACCATTTTGTCACTTTTGGAAGCCATTAACAAAAGAAAAAATAGAAGATGTTTAGAATTTTGGTTGCGAAATAAATAGAGAAAGGAGTGGAAAAAAAATAACAAGTAAGCGGGATAGCCTATATGACACTTCTACTCCATGCGGCTGCCGACCAGAAGTCTGGCAATAGGAATTTTTCAGCTCCATTATGGAACCACTGCCATAAAAGCAGTCTGTCATTCACAGAAATGTTGTTATGCGGTGTATGACTGTATAGATATTGGTTCTGTGTAAGCTATCTCAATGCCTCATTGTAAACCAGCCAGAGCAGAGCTCATCAGCATATTAATGTGCCCAACAAAAAATGGAAAAACAACTTGTTTCAATCTAGGGCCAAATAATAGGATTGTAAATGGGCCTGTAAAAACAGGGAACTCTTAATGCTTCAGCATACCGTGACATTTTGGACAATTCTATGCTACCAAATTTGTGTGAACAGTTTTGGGAAGGCCCTTTTCTCTTCCAGCATGACTACGCTCCAGTGCACAAAGCAAGGTCCATAAGTACATGGTTGGATGAGTCTAGTGTGGAAGAACTTGACTGTCCCCCTGACCTCAACCCCTTCAAACACCTTTGGGATGAACTAGAATGGAGATTACGAGCCAGGCCTTCACATCCAACACCAGTGCCTGACCTCACAAATGCTCTTCTGGATGAATGGGCAAAAATTTCCACACACACTCCATGAACTTCAAAAGATTTCCCACATTGATGCCTATGGATTTAGAATGTGATGTCATAAAAGTTCTTGTACATGTAATGGCCAAATGTCCCAGTACTTTTGTTCATACAGTATACGTGTGATTGAAAATCAGATCGGTTTCTTACTCCCAATTTCTGATGCAGAATTTTTTTGCTTTTATTGGTCCAATACTGATAGTGGGATTGTGCCATCTCTAATAAAAATGCACATTTGATCAGCAAAAAATTGGAACTACAAGATAGAGAGCAGCTGAGAGCAAAAATGGAGCCATGAATCTGCTATCTAAACATATTCCGTGGATCTTTTTTGCAGGCTTCCCAGGAATATTGTACAAGTCAGTGCTTCTAAAACTGTAGGGCACAAGATGATTTTCTGAATATTCTGTAATAAAATGTATATGGATTTTTAGTTGCTAGTCTCCCCATTCTGCAAATTTCATCTGTAGCAGTGCAGTAGCCAGTTGCAAAATGTATTGTGGGGAACATTTATCGTGGGAGAATATAATCATTCCCTAGGGAAGATGGTGGCGCAGGAGGTAGTGCTATCGTTCGGCAACTGGAAGGTTGCAGGTTCGAGCAGTGTGTCCTTGAGCAAGACACTGAACCCCAAATTGCTCAAGTTGTGCAGGTTGGCACCTTGCATGGCAGCCTTCGCCACTGGTGTATGAATGTGTGTATGAATGGGTGAATGTGAGGCATAAATTGTAAAGCGCTTTGAGTACTCGAAGGAGTAGAAAAGCGCTATATAAATGCAGTCCATTTACCATTTAGTCCAGTCTAGTCAGTGGTGGCACATGAAAGACCAGGCACAGATCAAAAATCTAAATATGTTATAAAAGTTGCACAGGTGACATTAAAGGAATATCTAAAGATGGTTGACACAAACCCACTACCAGTATAGTATGCTTGAAATATTGGTAAGAGTCAGCTCCTTGCTAATCATCTAATTCACTTAACGACATAGTCATAGGAACGGAAAATCGGTCGTTTCGCAAGGAGTGTCCATATGCCTTGTTGTTCTGTGGAAAAAATTTGTACACTCTAAGTGAAAGATCCAAGTTAAAAATTCATAATTACTTCTCCTGTTAATTGCTTCAATGTCTCTGTTTGAAAAGAATCCATCAAAAACTTAGTTTTCATCTCAACAGGATCAAGTGTCAAAACTATGACATTTTGGAATCAAGTGTCAAATCTAGCAGTAGGCAATGGCTCAAAATTTTATTTTCTGGAGGACATTTGGTCTCCGCAATATAAAGTTGCAATAAAAAGTATGTGAACCTTTTGGGATTACGCGGAGTTTTGCATGAATTGGTCATAAAATGTGCTCTGATCTTCATCTAAGTCACAACAATAGAAAAACACAGTCTGCTTAAAATAATACTACACAAACATTATATGTTGTCATGTTTTTATTGAACACAACATGTAAACAATCACAGTGCAGGGTGGAAAAAGTCTTGTCACATAAGGACACAGTAACTTAAAAAGGCATGAAACTT